AATTAGAAATTCATATTAATTTATTTATATTTTATATTTATTTTATTTCTTATAAATAAGATCTCTTTGTTCTGTACTTTTACCTTAGATTTGAATACTTTTAAATAATAAAAATAATCATAAGTTATAAAATTAAAACTTATTCATATAGTATTTTATCTTATTTACAATTATTAATAAAATAATTTTACAACTTGATAGTAATAAATATAATTATTACAAACATCACTCTCTAATATCTTACATATCATATATCACACATACTTCACATACACATACTTTAGTTTTATTAAAATAATATTTTATCAGAATAAACTCAGATTAATTTGCCTAATTTATACAGAATATGACTGAACTTATCAAGATAGTTAAAGAAGATGATCTCTCTGGTCCTAAATCTTCACCTCATCTTTTAGTTAAATTATCTACTTACTTAGGAGAACTAAAAAAAAATGTATTCATCTGGATTATGCAAGTTAAAACTATATTCCAGGCTCAAGGAATCACAGATGAGAAAATACAAATACAATATACTATCATCTCCTTGACTGATGCAGCCTTACATTAATATCTCAACAAAGTGAAGATTGATGATAGTATTGAATCTTTTGAAAATTGACAAGCTTTTATTACAGTATTAAAAGAAGCTTTTCAATCATCATATTATTAATAATATCTTTGCAAACAACTTCATCTTCTTTACCAAACTGGATCTGTACAAGACTATGGTATAAAATTCAGAAATATAGTTGGATAAATTACAGACATAAGCACTTTAAATCAAGTTACATATTTTATAGAAGATCTAAAATTAATTACAAAGATGAAAATAAGTTATCAGATATTAGAAACATTAGAAAATGCTTGAAAATTAGTCATTTACTATGATATAACTATGTATAGACAAGGCAAATCTCTAGGCCTATCAAGCAGAAATAATAATAGTTATTGCTCTCAGAACCAATACAGAAGTCACCAAAATAATGATCCTATACTAATGAAACTTGATCAGACAGAAAGTCATTATAATAATAAAAAAAATAATAATAATCAGAAGAATAACAAGTCCAAAGATATATGTTACAACTATGGCAAATCAGATCACTTTATCAAAAATTATTATTCAAAACCAAAGGTCAAAATTGCAAATATAGAAGATAAACAAGAAGAATCTTCATCATCATATGAGAAAGTTAAGTTCACTCATTTAGAAGATAATAGAAAAAGATTATTAAAATTTAATGATCAAGTAAATGACAAATTAGCATGGGTATTGCTTGACAGTGATGCATCCAGAAATTTTATTGATGAAAAATTTGTACAAAAAAAACAAAGTTAAATTACAGAAGACAATACCAGTTACAGTTGAACTCACTGATAACAAGAAGATTAATATCACTATCATGGCAAAGATTGATAAGCTTAAGTTAGATACTTATAGAATGCACAAGATGGATACACAGATATTAAAATTGCAAAGATATGATCTTATCCTAGAAAAATCTTGGTTATTTCATGCTAATCCAATCATAAACTAGAGAAATAATATCATAATCTTTACCTATAGATCAAAGACAATTAAAGTTCAAGCTGATAATAAAATTAAGTCAGATTTTAGTTGTAATTCAATTTACATATCAAGACAATAAATTATCAATCTGCCAGCAGATGCAGAACTCTTCACCATACATCTCAATAATATTAAAGATAAAGATAAAGTAAAAGAAAAGTTACTTTTATCTGAAGTATTAAATATCAAAAGAAAATTCAAGGATGTATTTCCAGAAATCTTACCAAATCAGCTACCATCTAAAAGAGTAATTAATTATAAAATTAATTTTATCTCAGGATCTGAACCACTATCTAAATTCACTTACAGACTTTCTTTCACAGAGATAAATAAGCTCAAAATCCAATTAGCTAATCTTATACAAAAAGATTTCATTCACTTTAATATCTCACCTTTTAGGATACCAGTTCTTTTTTTATACAAGAAAGAAGATACATTCAGACTATATGTTAATTATAGAGCTTTGAATAAAATCATCATCAAGAATTGCTATTCCTTATCAAGAGTTAATAAGTTAATAGACAGACTTACAATATCAAAATACTTTTTAAAGTTAGATTTATATTTAGAATATTATCAAATTTATATTGCAGAAGAAGATATTCATAAAATAGCATTTAGAACTTGCTATGATTACTATAAGTTCTTGATTCTATCTTTTGATTTTATCAATGCATCTGTCATCTTCATAATACTTATGAATAATATATTTCATGATTATCTTGACAAATTTGTAATCATATATCTGGATGATATCTTGATATATAGCAAAACAAAAAAAGAATATATTTAACATCTTCAGATTGTATTAGAAATACTTCGCAAATACAAATTATATAGTGATTGATATAAATATCTGAAATTTATTATGACAGGTAAGATATTTTATTTTTATTATTAACATGTACAAAAATTTTATACGCATATTCTCAAATATAACTACTAATTATTTACAAAAATTTAATAGTCAATTTTTTTTCCCTTCCATTTAATTATCACCAAAATATGATCCTTCATACTCCTTGCTAATTGAAGAAAAAGATCTTCACTCAAATCTATCTATTCTGTTTATATTATCATTTGAAATTCTGTTATTAAAAGTTTTTTTTTGATTAACCATAAATTTATCTTCTTTTCTACCTTTTTCTTAAGTATAACCCACAAATTCTTAATGAAATTAATATTTGGTGAGTAAGAAGGCTAATCAAGAATTTGAATATCATGATAATGAAAAAGATTAATTATTTCACCTGTATTGTGAATTGAAGAGTTGTCCTGTTAAAAATATAACTTATGATCTGCTACAGAAATATAGAGAAAAAGATTCATTTTAAGAATTTCTTGATATTTTTTAGTATTGAAGTTTTTAGTGAATAAGACAAGTGCAATTGGTCCTTGCATACTAAAAGCACTTCAAGTATGAATCTTATAGAGATGCTTTATCATACTTTTATGTGATTGTAATATTTCATGATGATATCTTATTAGCTAAGTATTTCTGAATATTTAGAGGGTTATTTCATTAGAAAAAATCATGTGAGACTAATTTTGATAAATATATTTCTGTACCCATTTAAGATAAGCTATAATGTGATGGAGCTGTAAAAGAGAGATCCATAATGGATGATAAATATTAAATTGAAGATTTTTTTTAAGATATATTGAATTATACGAATAGAAACTTTCAAGTTAGGATCTTTTTATTTAAGTCTTTTAGTCATTTCAGCTGCAGTAATGATATTATTGATCTGCACTAATCAGCTAAGGATGTGATATTGCTCAACTGTGAGAATTAGGGGTCTTTCAGATCTGAGAAGTGACATAATACTTGATAATTTTTTAATCTAATTAATTATATCATATACTGTAGATTTAAGAAAATCTGTTATTCACATAATTTCTATAGATTTCTGGATATTATTTATCCAAAGCTGACTTATCATCATTCTTTGTGCTTTGTGCTTGAAAATAGATGGCATTTTTTTTTATTTTTTTGTTAATGGATACAAAAACTGATAACAAAAATATTTATATTATTGTATTTATTATTAAACAAAGAAATCCCAATTTTATATATGTATTAGTTTAAAATTAGTAACATTACATAACATTTTATGTACCAGATCAACATTCTGAATATTTATATCAATCACTATATGTCAAGTAAAAGAAATGTGATATCATATAATAATATATAGAGTATCTTAGATATTTTATCTTAGCAGATGATATATTAATAGATCAAAGAAAAATTACTGCTATTAGAGATTGGTCAACACCAATAAATATATCAGAACTTTGCTCATTTCTAGGTCTTGCAAGTTACTATAGAAAATTTATGAAAGATTTTTTAGCAATAGCATTATTACTCATAATACTTCTATACAAAGATCAAGAGTATAAATAATTTACAACAGTATAATAGGCTTTTGAATAATTAAAGCAATATCTTATCTTAGTACTAGTCTTGTTGTTGTCTAATCCAAAATTACCATTTACAGTCATCACAGATACTTTAGATTTCACTATAGGAGTTATGCTAAGCCAAAACCAAGACAAGAATGATCAACCAATTGCTTTTAAATCAAGAAAACTTTCACCAGTTGAACAAAATTATTCAGTTTATGAAAAAGAACTACTTACAATTGTACATATAATTAGATTCTGAAAGCCATATTTAGAAAATCAGAAGTTTACAGTTATCATAAATCATGTCTTCTTGAAATATATCTAGTGATATCAGTAACTATTTTCATAACAATTTGATATTTCTTATCATAGATATTAGTAACTCTTTTTGTGACAAATTAGTATCTCTTTTTAGAGATATATTAATCTCTTTTTCTTGATAAATTACTTACCTATTTTTGTCACTTTATATGAAATGGCATTCTTGCAGTCTGTAATTAGTTTCACATGATTCTAAACCAATAAGAGAATAATCTATTTATAAATATCAATTAAATTAGTATAATTCTTAATTACTATTTATGTAAAATAATCTATTGATCAATAGAATATTACAGCCAATAAAATTTGCTAAAATTGACCAATCAAATAATAGTCACATGATAAAATTTGTTTCAATTTCTGATAAAATACTCAAAAATACAAAAATTTAAATTATTATAACTTTTTATATTGAAGTTGTTTGAAAATTCTGATTGGTAGTTTGAAAGAGCTTATTTCAAAAAACAATATTACCAGTTTATTTTTTTTTAAAATTTATTTTTACAGAGCTGTGATAAATTTTAAAGATACTCTATTTTATTTTTGAGTTAAGACTTCCGGCACCATATAAAATAACTTGCAAATCCCGGATCAAATCAACCCAGATCATATCTGAATTGACTCGATCCGAATTGCACTACCCGGCTTTAGTGTTCCTTCCTTATGAGCAGTATCGATATCGAAGCATAAAAACATCTAGACATGGACGCAATGGACGTGGACTACTCACTGGATATAGCGGATTTCGCTGCTAAATACTGTCGGGACCATCGAGAAGCAACTGGCACGGACATCAGAGCAGCACACGAAAAATATAAAGACTTCTACGTCAAATACCTTCGCGACCACCCCGGAGCGACCACGGACTGCTATGCAGAATATATTGAAACACTTGGTAAGTAAGGTAAGCAATGCACGTTTATTGGGAGGATAGAGGAGCAACGGGGAGAAGAGTTTTTGTGCTATATTGCAAGAGGTTGGGCGTTATTAGTTGGGGCAGAGCAGAGTTGTAGCAGCTAAGTTTATACGTAAACTCATTTCAAAGGAGACAAGAAACATATGGGTTAATATAGGAGCAGTGGAGGGAGAATAGTTTGAATGCTGTTACATGCGCAGTAGACATAGAATAGAATACAGCGAATGTTACTGGTAAACAATTTCGCTTACAGCGATAAAAGGAGCAAATAAGAGGCAAACTAGTAGATATTTTATGTCATTTCGGCAACGAAATGCTTATTGCGTTTGGTACTGTTTATGTGACGTTAGCTAATGGTTTCCCGAACTCTTTTCAACATGAGGTTTCTGTTTTCGTTATGCTAACCTGTCTACAATCAACTCTGTTTTTTGCACAGGTGGAAAGAAGTCTGATGCGCTGCCATATACACCAAGATTAGGTATAGTTGCTTCAGAATCCATCCGTAGGATTCCATCTTCAATTAGCTGACCTTCTTTCCCATTTGTTATTTGTAGGGGGCCTCGGTGGTACTAATTACAACTCCAAACGGATTGAAGAAGGACGTGTCAACGCATATGAGGGTATCGATATCAATAATCCTGATATCTGTTCTCGTGAAGAGACGCTTCGGAGGCTGGTTGAAACTCTCCATAACGAAGGTGTTCTGCTTGTGCAATCGCCGCCCATGGCTGGCAAGACTTCGCTGGCCCAATTGTTAGAACAATATCTTCTTCGAGACAATACTATACGTGTTTTTCGTATTTCACTTTTATGGTTGAGAAGAATCTCTGGTGGACCTTGGACATTTGAAGAACGATTTAAGGAACTTATGAATGGCACTACTTGGGATCAATTTGTGGATGAGTGCAGGTTCATTACAACATTCCTTATTGTCGATGAGGTGCAGGTATGAAAGATGCTATGAGGCGTTCTTATAATTTTACGTTTTCTTTGTGGATTCTCATTAAGAACTTTGTAGTTACTTTATTCCAAAGGAGTTGGCGAGCCTTCACATAATGGCGGTGATGTCTTTTGGAATGTATTCAAGGACTGCCAGCAGTATGCTAACCTCTGCATAGTTGCCTTCGCTGTGTACGGTTACCGAGATGCCTGGGATGGCTCGGCTCCCGGTGGCACAATGGACGTGTCTCCAATTACCATCCACCCTCAAAATACATGGAGTTTGGAAGAGGTGCGCTTCACTGATGAAGAATATCACGACTACGTCTCACGCTTCTGTGAGAAGTATCTTAACATGAATGATGATGATGCTTCATGTCTTCAGCAATACGTGTACAATACGACAGAGCGCCATCCAGGACTAGTCGCATTCTTCATGGGCAGTATTAGAAATCATTTCACCCAGCAACTGAGATACACAAGAGAGGACGAGAAACTGACATGGAGCAACGTTTTCAAGTATTTGAAGTCATATAATTTCTGGACTACAGTAATAGATGTGAGTGACTCTTTCAGCTTAAGCTGCATAATAACAAGATTGTATTATTATACTCGTTGCTTTGTTTTGTTTCAGGGTGCTCGTGCATACACAAAACTCAAGCATCTAAGTGATGATGAGAAATTGCTTTGTGATAATGTGTTTCGATCTTCCGTTCATATCAGGGACGTCACAAGTGAATCAAAGCGTTTGATCAAAACAAACATGCTTGTCGAAAAAAATGGAAGACTCGAGTTTGCTGCACCTTACTTGTGTATACTTTACATGCAGGAGCGCTGGGGATCTACCAACAGGGCGATGGAAGCTCCCGATGATTTAAAAAGCTTTCTAATTGATACCTTCACTGTTATGGACCCCAAGACAATACAGAAATCATTTGGTGTCGGCAAAGACAACCGGCTTCTAGAACGCACTTGGCAGATGGAATTCTACCGGGCTGCCACTCAAGTCCTCCCTAATACTGTCTATATTTCTCCTGACGTTGGAGCGGATTTCGGTTCGCGCGGATTTGTAGACTTCTATGTGGATGACGACCGAAACTGGGTGATCGAGTTACTAAGAGATGGGGAAAGGGCGAAAGAGCATGAGAAGCGTTTCGAAGTAGATGGTATTTATGCTAAAATCCTGGCGAGTTCCAAGGAATCAGTAATAATTGATATTCGAAATCCTGACCTTTGCGACAGTCCTCCAGCGAAGAGTGGTGGTAAGTGGATGAATGTATATTGCAAGAAAGAATGGGAATCAGTAATAATGGAGTATAGAGGTACGAAACAGGAAATTAGACTTATTGGAGGGAATGCTCGGGAAAAGACTATGTAATACTAAGTAAAGAAGGTCTCGTCAGATGTATTCTGCTAGATGATTAATTGCTTAATAATTTCTGAATTCGTAATGAGATTTACTAATGTAATGGAGCATGATGATATTAAATAAATTGAATGCATTTTGAGTGAGAACTGTAATGAATTCTCTGCTAAATTCACCTAATTCAAAAATTAATCACCGATGGGATGAAAAATCGTGACGTAATCTTAGAACTCATATCTCATGATAGACATAAATGCAGACTCTTCTCAATAAGCATTAAAATCTATATATAGGATTTATCCGTATATGGAAAATTATAATTATAATGGTTCTACCGAATTTGAAGAAGCAATACGTTTCTTGGAGATAGGCTGCAACTATGGTTGTTCAAAAAAGATTTCGAGAGAAAAGTTTGCCGAATTACGTGAAGCGTTTCAAGCTCTCTCTAGATCTGAGCAAGATATATTTGTAATGGCTCAGCTGAAAGCAATGAATGGTGGAGAAATAACTGCCAGCCGACGTCTTAAAAAGAAAACGTGTACTAATAAGAGAACTTTTTATTATTGAGATCGCAATACGCCGGTTTGTCAGAAAACGTATCTTAATATGTTAGGAATTGGTCGCACGCACTTCGAAAATGTCAGAAATCACCTAGCGACGAATGGTATAATACCGCGTGTTCATGGTAATATCAAAGATGAAAGACTAAAATAACCATTGATATAACTGTTGCTACCGCCGTGAAGAATTTTCTCGAAAATTATGCTGAAATTCATGGATTACCAAGTCCTGGTAGAAATGTAAATCGAATTACTCAATCGCATACACTATTGCCATCCGAAACGAGTTATAAATCGGTCTATCGCAATTTTATCGCAGGTCTCGAAAACGATAGCACATTGAAATTGTTAAAATACGACGCGTTCCGCAAGCTATGGCACCAATTAACGCCTTATATTCAAATCATGAACCCAAGAACGGATTTATGTGACACGTGCCAACATTTTCGGAATGGCTTACAGTATAATGCTCGTAAGGAGGAAGAAGCAAGAGACTTACTAAAAAAATTCAAAGAACATCTAGTTAAAGCTAAATTAGAAAGGAATTATTACAACAAAAATACGAAATTAGCAGAACAACAGAGAAAATTGGTAGATGAGCACTTTATAACAAGAGGTAAAGCTGATTATTGTAGCGTTGACGCAACTGCTCATTACAGTTATGATTGAGCACAAAATGTTCACGTACCCCATTCCGATCAACAGGTAAGTAAAATTTATCATCTTAGTCCGCGTAAAGTGCATTTATTTGGTATTCAAGATGAAGCAGTACGCGAACAAATTAATTATGTTCTCGATGAAGACGAAATTATCGGCAAAGACCCCAATGGCACACTGAGCCTGGTATTCGATGGAATAAAGAAATTGAATAAAGGTGAAAAATATTTAAAAATTACTTGTGACAACGCGGGTGGACAGAATAAAAATAATGCTACCATTTGATTTTACCTATATTTAGTAATTTGCGGTTGTTACGAAAGCGTTGAATTGAATTTTATGATACCTGGACACACTAAATTCAAGTGCGATGGTAGTTTTGGATTGATTAAAAGGCTCTATAGAAAAACAACAGTAGATTGTGTGGATCATATTGTTAAATTTGTGGAAAAATCAAGTACAGCGGGATTAAACAAAGCTCAGCGTTATGACAACGGAAAAGCTTTTCAATATTTAGATCTCAATTCTGTGTTGGGGATTTTCTTTAAGAAACTGAGTGGTTTACAAAAATATCAGCATTTTCTATTTGAAGCAGCTAATCCTGGAGTTTTCAAAGCTCAACTGGTCGCTAATGGTTCTTTTACTGAATTTAATTTATTGAAAACGAAAAAAGCAAGCATTTCCGAAATTACCAAAGAAATTAAATCGTTTTCCATATTAGTACTAAACCCTCCTCCTTTGGATTACAAAAGACAAGAATATCTTTATCACAATATTCGTCCATTTGTCAGAGATGAATTTAAAGACATTACTTGTCCAAAGCCTATACAAAGTTCTATTGAATAATAAGTTTTATACTCTAATTATGGTTACTTATAAAGTTCTTATAGTTATAAAAAATATATTATGATAGAAAATGAAAAAGAGCAACTTAAAAGCTTAATTTCTGAGCATGATATTATGCTTACTTCAGTTAATTCTCATTGTAACAATTTTGATTGGGTTATTTTTCTTTAGTTTAGATCTTCATTTTGCATTATCTGTATAATAGATTAGCTTTTATATCACTTTTTATGAAGATCAATTTCATTCTGAATACATAGATGATTATTCATGTATTTAATATATTAGATTTAACACATTATCATGCAGATAATCACTATTATTATTAATTTAGATAATTAATATTTTTAATTAGATTCTTTTTAATATTCTTTTATAATTTTATTTATTTTTCTTATATTATTATTTATATTATTATATTATTTATAATTATTAGATTATGATTAATTACTCTCTGGAGATATAAATTAAATTAATTTGTTAAATCATATATATTTTAAAAATAGAATCATTATTAATTTATTCATTTTTTGTATTTATTTTTTTTCTTATAAATAAGTTCTATTTGTTTTATAAAATAATTTCAGATCTGAATATCATTCAAATAATAAAAATCATAAATTTATAATTGAAACTATTCATATCACATTTTATCTTATTTATAATTATTAATAAAATAATCTTATAACTTGATAATAGCAAACATGATTATTATAAATATCATTCTCTAATACTTTATATTATATATCATATATATTTTACATATATATCTTAGTTTAAAAATAAAATATTATCAAAATAAATAAAGAATAATTTGATTAATTTATGTAAAGTATGACTGAACTTCTCAAGATAATAAAAGAAGATGTTTCTTCTGATTTCAAATTCTCATCTTATTCTTCAATCAAATTACTTATATACTTAAAAGAGTTAAATAAAAATATACTTATATAAATAATACAAGTTAAAATAATTTTCTTAACTTAAAAAATCACAGATGAGCTAATACAAATATAATATATTATTATCATTTTAACTGAAGTAATCCTATTTTAATATTTAAATAAATATAAAATTAATAATTAATATCATATCATTTAAGATTTGAGAAGTATTTGTTATAGCTTTTAGAAATATATTCTAACTATCATACTATCAGTAATATTTTTACAAATAATTACATCTTCTTTATTAAACTAAATTTGTACAAAATTATAGTATAAAATTCAGAAATATAATTAAATTAAACAGAAAGTTATTATAACAAAAAAATAATAATTAGCAGAAAAATAACAAGTTTAAAGATATATACTATAACTATGATAAATTAGATTACTTTGTAAAGAATTATTATTTAAAATCAAAGACTAAATTATAAATTAAAAAACAGATAAGAAGAATTCTTTTAGTCTTATGAAAGAATAGAATTTATATATTTAGAAAATAATCATAAGAGATTACTAAAGTTTAATGATCAAGTAAATAATAAATTAACATAAATATTATTAAATAGTAATATATTTAAAAACTTTATAAATAAAAAATTTATTTAGAAAAATAAAGTAAAATTGCAGAAGATAATATTAGTAATAGTAAAACTTGTAGATGACAAGAAGATTACTATCATCATCATAACAAAAAATTGATAAATTAAAATTAGATATATATAGAATATTGTTATCTTTTTGATGTGAGCTTGTTATGAGGATGAGTATTAATCCTAATATTATAAAAGCACATGATAAAAGTGATTACATACTTATATTAATGTTGAGAGAGTTTTTAAAAGATTTATTGATAAAATTATAAATACTATTATTTCAAGATTTATCTAAAGATAGGTAATGATAATATTCTTGTTGTGATTAGCTAGAATATAATTCAATTTCAAAATATAATTTCAAGACAAATATAATATTCAGTTTATTAATAAGATGAAATAATAGATCTTAATCAAGACTTATTCTATAAGAGAAATTTCTTAAAATTCTCTTAAAACTAAAATCTACTTAAATATAAATTGAAAACTAAACTTATAGAACTCAAACTAAACTAAATAACTAATTAATTAACTAATTTTACTAAACTTAACTGATTATCTAAACTTACTAGCTAAGATATATTACTTTTATATATTTTAGAGATTATACAAATAATACTTTTATTATAATACTTATACTAGTTTTATTATAATTTAAATATTACTTTAGCTAGTATTATAATATTAGTTTTATTATAATAATATTGTTAGTTTTATTATGATAGTTTTGCTAATTTTACTATGATAATTTTGTCATAATTATCATGCTTATAAAATCTTATAAAAATATCTATAAATAATATTCTCTAAAGCTAATATCCAATAAGATATAAGTAATTATTTATCTAATAATATATGATATAAAGTGATTAATAATATAAAACTAATTAATATTCTACTAAAAGTTCATATCATAATAGGATCCTCTTCATTAGTATTTTGCTTCACAAAATTTAAAGTTAATTATCAAATTTCTACAAGACTTAGCAACTTTTCAAAGTTATTATTAGTTATTTTTCCTAACTTGATTAATGATAACTTTCTTAAGTTCAAAATTACTTGTTTTGAAATATATTGAAATAATTTACAAGCTCTATTGGTAATCTTCTAATATCAAGATGTCAATTTTTCAGTTATAACTTGAGATAATTTGTTATGAGAAATAGTTTTTCTTTAATTAAGTTTATAGCTATAATAGCATTTACTATTTCTTAATCTGATCAAAGTATATTAATATTTCTACTAAATGATATTATAGTAACTATTTTTAAGATAATATTTTTCAAGATAATTTTTGCTCTTGATTTATATGTTAATAGCATTTTGAAAAAATTTGAATGAATAATAAAAAAATAAATTCTATTAAATAATTAAATAAGAGTTATTTATAATAAATTATGTTTTACAGATAAATATAATATAGGATAAATATAATAAATAAAAGAGTTATATAATATGATTAATTTGGATTATAAAAATTCTGAATTAATATATTTTTCAGAAAGATTATAAGAAAGAGGATTTTCTAGACAAATAGAATTATAATATGGACTAATTTTCATATTCAATTTTCATGCTATAGTATGTAATTCTATAATTTTGACTGTATTACTGCAGATTCAGGAGTTGGTATAATCTTATACTATATCAGATAATTGCTCAGTCACATAATTTCTATTGGTACTTTTTATATTAATTTAATTTTTATATCTGTTTACTGTTCTACTATTAATTTCTCTTTCATTTTTATAGTAAAACTATATTTTTTCATCATTTATTTTAATATTATTGATAATATAATTATTTTAGGAATTTTATTAAGTTTGAGAAGAGAAGAATATTATTCTGTTATTATTATTTATTTTTTGCTTTCTTTTGTTAGAAATCTGCAAACTTATTTTGTCATTATATAAATAAGTATCATCATTTATCTTTCTATATTTATCTTATCTATATTATTATTATTATTGTCATAGTATTTAGTTATTATGAAAGTAATAATTTGAATATTAAGAATAGTATTAATTTTTCTTTTATTTTTAAAACTCAAAATTTTAAGAATCTGAGAGAATAAGAGATAATTATGATATTATATTATTATTTTTCTTATTACTTTCATTTCTATTGATAGCTGATATTTATGAGATACTGATAATATTTTATTTTATCTATAGATAGCTTTATTATGATTTTTCTTGACTTTTTGAACAAAAAATAAGTTATTATTTCTTTTATTACAGTCTTGATCACCTGACTAGTAATTGACAAATTGGATAACTTTGTAATCTAAATATTAATTAGTTCTAATATCTTCTGAAGTCAAATCACAACTATTAAAATTAGAATTACATATTTTATAAAGTGATACTGGATAATTCAAATATTATGAAGAATGAGAAAGAAACTTCTCTTTTTTTAACTTAATATATTTCCAAGAGAATATAGACAGATATAGTTTCTCATCTATATTCTAATAATATTCAAGATAAGTAATAGAGTGAGAAATTTTCTATTCTTTCTTTGCATCAAGAAGTAGAACTTCTTCTTTTTTTTGAAAATTAATTTGTGATGAATAAGCAATTTCTTCTTCATCTTCTTTTATAAGATTAATAATAAATTTTTCTTCTTTATTATTGATGAAACATAATCTATAATCTCTATGATTCATCCTTTTTCTATTTTTATATTAATAACAGTAATAATTTTGTAAACTATACTGGTAATTTTAATATTATTATTCTAATCAATTCTCAATTAGAATAATTTTTTCAATTTCTAGATATTAATAATATTGATAACTGATATGAGAAGAGTTATTTCAATATTTAGAACTGCAAATATATGATACTCTAAAGAATTGATCATAAGTGATACATTTTGAATAATAACTTTTAAGATGATGATATTTTTCTACTAACAAGATGGTAAGACTTTGAGTAGATATGTTAATTATTTGATTACTATAAAATTGATAGAGTTTTACTTTTATTTAATTAGTTCTTTATTCTGGTAAAAGTTATGACTTATCAATATTAAAGTCTAATTTGTCAGAATTAGAAGTATTTAATTTTTTATGATAATTCTAGGTTTCAATTTATTATTTTCAAGATATAGTTTCAGATAATTACTATTATAAGAATTTTTAAGAATTTTGCTATCTAATATTCTTAATTTATAGGTATCTTTATCAAAAATTTGATAAATATAATATAGTTCTTTTCATTTTTGAGCAAATTTTTTATGATATCAATATTGGATTTCTATTAACTTTATTTCTGATAAAGAAAAATTAGTAATTTTTATCTTGTTGATAAGTTTTTTTTATTTTTGTTAGAATTTTTATATATTTTGTTAAGTGATAGATTAATTCTAATCTATCTATAATAATACAAATATTTTTTAACTAATTTATTTGAAGTAATATCTTCTTTATTATTAATTAATTTTAATTTAAGATCTAATAATATGATAGCTTGTCTATCATAGATAAGATAGAAAGATATGAACTTTGTTAAACTTTATCTCATTATTCTATAAGTGAAGAATACTAAAGATATATATATATCCCAATTTTTTTCATATAGTTAAA